TCCGGCACTTGTTTTTTGAATTTCCATATTTTTCTGTTTACAAGTGAATTGACATAATTCATAAACAATATCACACTTTCCATTTCATTATTTGAGTTTCTTACTAAATAATCAATATCATCAGTGTTAAATGCTGTCATTTTCATTTTCAATAATCGACTATTCATGTTTTCGTATATTTCTTTTACGTTGCCAACCAATTCGATGTCTGTGGCGAAGGTTGTTTGGTTGTAATTGCTTCTTTATTTGAATCTGCAAACAGTTATATTGTTTTATAATAAAACGAATCTCTTATGTCACCGTTTTCAAAATTACATGCATCAAATAGTCTTTGTTGTTCAGATTCAAACAAACCAATGTGAATTTTAAACTTTAATTCGTTGTTTTCTGTATTTTGAAGTGGCCTTTTGGTCAAATGAAAATTAAATACACTGCACGCAAATTGAACAAAACAATTGAAGTGAATTAAATTATAGGGAACCTGAAAAAATCTCCAGTAATCTCCAAATCTAGCAAAGACTCTTTCAACGACATTCCACATTTTTGTAAGAAAATTAACACATTTAAACAAGGATCATCATGTACATTTTTATTAGAGTAATAACTAATTATCTATTTTTAGAGTAATCTCCCAAATTGTAACTCTCAGGTGGAATACCAAAATAATTATGAAGAAACAGATTGTTGTCATTCACAGAACCTTCAGATGTTGCAAAATCAATTATGAAACCATCTCTAACAACAACAAATTGAAACTTGGCTCCAGCTGTGTTATTTTTTTATAGAAAACATTGTAACATCCCTTGTTTTAGTAAATTTCTTTTCATTTGTTACATAAATGACCCATTTGCTTTTTGAATCAACAGCAGTATACGCATACATTGACTGTGGATATATTTGACTTACCAGTGCCGGCTGCCCAAGAGCAAATGGAGTAAAAATCATTTAATTTGATTGGACACTTTCAATCAAATTGTTTTCATTTTTTTTCACCAAATTCACTTTAAATGTGTTATGTGAGATTATACGAAACTTAACATTTGATTTAAATTCTTTTTTCTCCATAAAGAAAATGGTTCATCTTCACCATTTTCAAGTTTGAGTTTTTTGTATAAGGAAAAAATCTTTCCAATCGAAGTAACGTAAACAATAATGTATAACTAACACCAGTTCTCAAAAACGCAAGCAAAATAAACAATTCTGATTTTTCTGATATTGTTTTGAAACTATGTGTTTTTAAAGTGGATTATGTTAATGGTATGAATTCAAAACTGTTTTGTTTTATATTAATCGAGCATGTTGTTGATGTTATTATTTATGATAGTTCGTTGAATTCTATAAAAGAAACACCTCTTATTACAAACATCTGAATATTGTTAATGATAAATCCCTTAATGACATCTCCATTTTTTGAATTATATATATAATAACAGTTTTCTGTGCTCAACATCTCTGATAGTTTTAGTTTTTGAGCTTCTTTTAACAATTCAAATTCATTTTTAAAGGGTGTATGTGATGTGCTTATGATATAAGAAACATCATCAAGTGTTAAAATGTGTTTACTTTCAAATGAAACCTTTTCAAACTATATAAATATTTCTGAACACAATTCATTGAAACTTCTTTCATTTGTATTTTTTTGTTTGACTTCTTTCTTTGGTTTAATTTGAGTTATTTTATCTTTTTGTGACAACTTAGTTTTGGTTTTTTCTTTTTGTTTAACAATGCACAATGTTTTTAAACACTTTTAATGTATTAACCACCTCCGTTTCAAAACAATTATAAATTTTTTTCCTCCATGATTCATTATGTTTTTTGAATTTTTTTACATAAACTTGTATTTTAATTGGTTTTAATTTTTAGTATTTCCAGTACTTTTTTCAATATGATTGGAACGTCTTTATATAACAAAATAATATAATTTTATTATATTTTTTATAATATATCAAAAATATGGTTTATTTGAATGTGTTTAACTTATTTTATATACAATAGGAGGAAAAGGTGGGATGCTGAGAAAAAGGAGGATGCTAATCTAAATATAAATTAATTTTGGTGTTTTTCATTTTTTTAATAATTTGAATAATTATTATTATTAAAATTTATAGTAATTATATAAATAGAAATTTAACTGGGATGCGGGTCTTAAATAAAAACTAAATATAATTAATATTTTATTAAACAATTTTAACAAACTTATAAATAAAATAAACTCGGAACTAATAATATTTATATGGAACAACAGCATCACCACCCGTTTTCACAAAAAAACGAGAGTATTAGAATGTTAGCACCTATTAAACTTAGTGAAATGTTAACACCACGTTTTATTGAAGATAACAAACAACTGTTCAAATTTATCATTGATAAAAAAAACCCACATTGACACCAACAAGGTCTATCTATTCAACAAATTGAAAAATTCCTAATTTCATTTGAAAGTGTTGAACATTCAACAACCAAAGACTTTATTACAAAACCGAGAATGATGTATGAAACAATAAAAAAAGATATAGAATTGTTAAACAAAATAAGAGGAACCACAATGAGATTACAAATTGGGTTAATATATAATAAATATAAACACGGCAATGAATGTACACATAGATCACTTGCTGTTTTATTCAATGTTAACCGCGGTGTCGTTTCGAAACAAATTTCATATTATAACAAAGAATTGATTGATGGTAAAAATTATATTGGAAGGCGCTCTTTAATTTCCCCTTTAACAGAACTCGTTTTTTCATCATTTTATTTATTCTGTTCTACTCATAATTTGGCAATAACACTCAAATCATTCGAACTGATATTATTAAAAACACAGTCAACAAAAGTATAAAATGACACCTTAAAAAATGGTTGTTATTTCACATGTATTTAAAATACATTGATAGTGTACCAGAAGATATGGGCAGATTAAGAATTGACCCATCAAATGTTATTTTGAATTACTTGGAACTTTCAAAATTTAGTGGTATACCAATTCAATTGGTAGTTAATATTGATGAAATCGGTTTTGAAGATTATGCAGATCCAAAAATGTAAATTTGCTGGTGCCATCAACAGTTGATGCCAAAAAATACGAATCTGTTATAATAGGGGTAGTAAACGCACAATTGTAATGTTTATGATATCTTTATCGGGACAAGTCTGTTATTCAGCAGTTGTGGTTGGGTTAAAAAACGTTCCTGTTGAATCTTTCAAACGAAATTGTGATTTATCTTTCTATTAGTCTGAGACTGGATTTGCCACAAAGAAAATATTCACAACTTGGTTTGAAGAAAGGGTAATACCAACTATCATTTTTACAAGAGTTAGATATGGGTTAGATATAAATACACCATCTTTGATCACCATGGATGGTTTCACTGGCCATAATATTGAAATATTGGGAAAAATGTGTGAACCAAACAATATACACATCCATCTATATGTGCCTCATACTTCTCATTTGGTACAACCTTTAGACCTTTGTCTATTTGGTTGTGTTAAAAAACAAGAGTAATAGTACACCTTTATTTGCAACACAAATTAGTATTGACCAGCAACCTCGTAAAAATGGAGTTTTCATGGTGTCAAGTGATTACAAGAGTATTGACCAGCAAAATATTTTCAGAAACGATGGAAGGTTTGTTGAAAGAAATTTCCAATTACACGAACACTTCAAGTGGCGCACTTAAAAAAAGAAAGTAGAGCAAAAATGGATAGGCTTTTATGAAAACAATGGAAGAAATCATGAATTCAATTGACACTTCGGCCACTTATAAAAACATTGTCTCTTCTTTTAAAAGAGGCGGGATGGTGTCGAGATTTATTGATGGTAAATGGAGGTTTTTTGTCGACATCAAAAGTGCTGAAAGATTCACTCAATAGTACACAACATATTTTACAAATGCAGTTGCTTTAAATCTCGAGTTGATGTCGAAAATTTCTGCTCCGGACAATACCAAAGAAAAGGTTAACATCGTGGGAAAGTCGTCATGTGTTGACTATAGACCAAATGACCGCTCAAAATTGTTTTATGTGAACTACTTTTTATCTGGAATAACAGTTGGTAACGCTTGTACGTTTGATGATATTAACACACTTGCATCTATATCAAGAATGCTTTATGGTAATGTTTGTATAGAACATCAAACATACAACTTACAACATGTTCGTAAAGTTACTATTAGTTATGGTAATATTGATATACCCTTGGAAGTTAATAATAAAGAACTTATCGAAATTGAAAGATATCAACAATGACTTGACTGTTGATTAAAATTTGGTTACAATTTTCTCATTATTAAAATAAAAATTGAAATAAAACAATCAAACAATTAGAAGTTTTGAGAATATACATTTTATGAACTTAATATTTTTAACATTGAAAATAACCAATAGTTGCGAGCATCCTCCTTTTTCTAGCATCCCCTTATTTCCTCCAACTGTAACTGAAAAAATTGAATTTGAATAATTATTTATTTTAGATATTATAATAACTAATTATTATATTATTAATATAACACTTTTTTCTTTTTGTCAATTTTTTCAAAAGAGTTGTTTTTAAAAAAACCCAATTTTAGAATAATTGTTTAAAATTTATTTTTCAATTTGGCAAATAACAAAAAAGCAACAATATTTGATAAATTGTTTTTTCTGTTTTTAAATAATAATTTACATTATTATTATTTTAATTTTACTCTAGTAAATGTATAATTTATATTTTATTATTTTTAACCATAATAAAGTAAAAAGAGACTTTTTTCAGAGGTTTCCAAAATCCCAATCCTAATTACCCAATTCACAATTATATAACCAAAATGTTCATTTTCTCTTATAAATTCGTACGTTTTTATACCACATATTCGGCAATAATTATTTTGGAAACGCCTGCTTTTTTTGCATTCAATTACTGAAAAAAAATATTTGTAATACATGAATTTAACTATTATATATAGTTAATATTCTACAATAAATCAAAACTTATAAGAACTTTGAAACAAACTTTAATTCTTATGGAAGAACGTCTTACTGATAAACAGTTGGAATTTGGAGCGGGACAAATCGAATATGTTGTTCATTTCAGTATTTTTAAAAAGTCTGGGCAACTCTTGGATGATCTGTTTGTGTCGATGTCATATCGGAACTCGAAAGATGGTGTTCTTAATCAATACGAGGGAAGTACTAAAGTGTTCCACACATTAGAAGGTTTAACCAAGTTAACACAAATTGTTGATTGTAAAGAAACGACAAACGGTGGGTTTGCAGTGAAGTACGAGTACAGTGGAATGGTTTTAGAAGTCTTTTTGCGACGAACCAAAAGTAGTGAAATAGAGAAAAGAAAGGTCGCGGAGATGAGAACTAAAAAAGAAGGCGAGATAGAGTACATTGACCCAGAACGAACTGAAAAAGAAAAACAAATAACTGATGTGAAGGAAATGAAAGAGACCGAAACGAAAGAATGCACACCAGAAGAAAAGAATCAAATAGTAGAAGATAAAATGGATATGATTTTATTTAATTTGGGATCGATGCAAGAGGTCTTTGCCAAAAAAATCGATGAGACCACTCATATCAACAATGACTCAAAAAAAGTGTTGGAAGAACTTAAAACGATCAAAGAGGAAAATGAAAAGTTAAAGAAAAAGAAAGAAGAAAATTGGGAGGAAGAGAAACGTGAAAAAGTGTGGAAAAGTAATGTGGAAGAAGAGTTGAAAAGGTTGTCACTTCGTAACGGGGAAATTGAAGAAATGTACAAAAAGCGGGAAGAGAATATGAAAAAGGAAATAGAAACTTTGAATGAAAGATTGAAACAAAACACAAAAAATCAACAACAATCTCAAATGAAATGTGGGTGTATGGACGAAATAGCAAATATTAAAGAAAAACTAAAAGCAATAGAATCACTTAAAATAGACATGGAAGCAATTCGAACAGATCAACTTAGACAAAACATCGAAAATCAAAAAAAAATCTCAGTTTTAAAAAAGGAAATTGAGGGACTCAAACAATCTCAACCCGCACAAGAAAAAGAACAAAAACCGGAAGAAAATGTGAAAATTGAAATGAAAAGTTGTGATTACGAGAAAGTGATTGCAAAAATCAACGAAGAGATTGAGCAGATCAAAAAGAACGTTGACGAGATAAAAACAAAAGGCGAGGAAGAAGATGAGAAAGAGAAGAAGCAGAACGATGAGATAGAAAATATTAAAAAGTTAATTGAAACCGTCGAGGAATCACATCAATCACAAAACGAAGGCAGTCAAACAGATGTAACCGCAGAAATGAAAACAATCACTGAAAAAATTGACGAATTAGAAAAAGCGCTTAATGTGAACAAAGATATAGACGATAAAACTGAAAATGATGTATCAGAACTCAAAAATAAAATATCTGAGATTGAGGAAAAGGAGAATTCCACTCAAATCGAATTCCACAAGAAAGACAAAGAATTTGAAGAGATGAAATCTGCTTTTAACATGATGTTTGAAACTCAAGAAAAACTCAAAAATGAATTGGAGAAGAATAAAGAAGATGACGAGAAGACAGAGAATGATTTAAAAGAACTCAAAGGGGAGATTGAGAAGTTGAGAGATGAGAAGCAGAAAGAGACAAATGTTCAACACATTGAAAAGATTGAAAACGTCAACAACGAAACAGACCAAGAAATTGATAAGTTGCGGAACGAGATCGATGAATTGAAAAGTGAGATTGACAAACTCAAAACAGCTGCTGAGAATAAATCCGAAGAGAAAAAAGACGAGGTAGACCGAGATCTTGTCGTAGAAAGATTGAAACAACTTGAGATTGCACTCTTAAAACAAAACGAAAAGATTGAGAAAGAAAAAGTCAAAGAGAAAGGAGTGCTGCCACGTGTCGTCTATTTAGATGATTTTATGAGTGAGTTGTGTGTGTATGTTGACGTCAAAGGAATTAACGAGAAAGCTTTAGTGTTTGTTGAGAGGAAAAATAATATATTGGAGGTATTTTGTGTTGTAGCAAATGGTTCTGTATTCAAAGCCAAAGTAGAGGATGTTGATATAGCTGGAATGAGTAGTGTGCTTGAGGTTGGAGATTGGAAATTACAGAACGACATGATTGAATTTAAGAATGTGAATCACAAATTTGAGATGGAGAAAGAGAAGAAGTGTGATGTGTGGCCACGTTTAGTACATTTGTACCATTACTTTGGAGAGAAGTACACCACTTTTCTGGACGTGCAAGATCGCGGGGAGAGAACGAAAGACATAGAAATAAAAATAATTGGAGAAGAAAGGAAAGCAGACAATGAAACGAGTTCGGAACTTGAACCGACGTCATCCGAAGATGAAAAGAAATTGGAGATTGTCGAGTCGAACGAGATTCAAGAAAGTGAAGAGAAAGAAAAAATGGAAGAAAAAGAAGTTCAACACGAGAAACAAGAAGTCCAAGTGGAGGTGAAAGTTGAAGAGAAAAAAGAAGAAAAAAAAGAAGAGAAACCCCAAAATGTCTTTGTGTACTCATCAGTCCCAACACAATTCCATTCAAGAAGAATTCAACAACTTGGAAAGCTTGTGCCAAATTGTAGATTCACAGACTTCTGGAACGGATATGGATGCGGACAAGTCCCTGATAAAGTTATATTGTACTACGCATATGAAAAGGAAGGAGACTCATATAAAGAAGATCTGGACGCATTAAAGACGGTCTATCCAAATGCAAAGACTTTCGCTATTGTGTTGACATACCAGGAATACTGTTTGAGACCTTTTGAGGTTGGAAATGATGAAAATGTGTTTGTTATTAATGTCACGTCAAACGTGTTGGAAGAAGGAGAAACAACAAAGAAATTTGCAGAGGAATTATCAAAAAAATAAGTTTTTTGTTATTGAACGTTTTTATTGTTTGCAACAGGAAATGGTAATTGATAAGAAAATTACTTATAAAATTTTCATATCATTGTTATGTTCAAAATTATTATTATCATTTAAGTCGATTTTAAATGACATCAAGTGAGCGACATTACAACTAATATATTATTATTTCAATTTTATTAAATGCACCAGTTGATAGCTTTTATAAGTTGTGTTTCTTATTTAAACATTTTTACAACATGTTATATTTGTATTGGAATAAACAATGGTTAATAAACTAACAAAACTAGTTAGAAAGTCAAAACAATAGCAAAGAAAAGCACACCAATCAACAAAGACGATGCACTGTTCTCATACGAGTCTGTCTCGGTGCCCTTTGTGTCCAATTCCAACTCGTCAAACATCAAGTTGACAGAAGTTGTTGAGTCGCCAGTTCTTGTGAAGATGATTGTTGAGACCTCACCATTCAAGTTGAATTGGTCAAGTTTGATGTACGCCTTCATGTTCTTGTTTTTCTTGACCTTGATTATGTAACCCGCTGTGTTGTTGATGGTGGTCTCGTTGAATGAGTCGTATGCAGTGCTAAATATCTTAACATTGAGTGGGATATTGTTCAAGTCGTCGTTGTCGTACTTGACGTGGAATCTGAGTGTCTTGTACGTTTTGTCTTTGTCTTGGACTGTTGTTGAGACGCTGTCGTTTGTTGTGAACACTATCTTGTCACCAGGTAACATTGTCACAACTTCCCAGTGCGATCTGTCTTTGTCTTGTATTCCAAAAGTCAAGTTGTCTGGATTGACAACCTCAAATCCCTCATAGAAGTCGCCGTCGTCATACAACTTGATGTAATCTGCTGTTGTCATCATCACAAATGCACATAATAAGAGTGTTTCCATTTTCAATTGGACTTCCTCTTAATTTCCATCCTTTTATTCACAGAGCGACACTTTGACAACTCAATCACACATTCACAATCTGATTTCGTTTTGTTTTCTGTTTATGAATTAATAATTTTTTTTAGGATATGAAGAACTATTAAAAATAGTATATTTAATTGTATTTGTTGCTAATGATTAAATGTATTATTTTATATTGTATTGTAAACTATTGATATTTTTATAATCATTAAAAATATTAAATCATTATGAAACTATATATAATACTAAAAATAACTTTGTAAAGACAAGTGAATTACATCAGTCGACCTCCTCGATCTTCGGCCCCTTTGTGTCGCTCTTCTTTGCGCCCTGTTGTTGTGCACCGGGCATACCACCTTGTGGCATACTTCCTGGCATGTTACCAGCTGCTGCATTCTGTTGATACATTTTAGTGAAGATGGGCTGGATCTTCGCCTCAGCTTCCTTCTGTTTCTGTGTGTATTCATCCTTTGATGCCGATTGGTTCTTGTCGAGCCAGTCGAGTGTCTCCTTGATAGTTGCTTCAATTGCCACCTTGTCGTCTGGTGAGAGCTTTGCTGCAATTTGCTCGTTGAGTGTGTTTTTCATTGAGTAGCAGAAGTTCTCAAGTCCATTCTTTGCCTCGACAAGCTCCTTCATCTTGTCGTCCTCCGCCTTGAACTTCTCTGCGTCTGCAACCATCTTGTCGATCTGTTCCTTTGAGAGTCTTCCCTTGTCGTTGGTGATAGTGATCTTGTTCTTCTTTCCTGTTGTCTTGTCTTCAGCAGACACATTCAGAATCCCATTTGCATCAATGTCAAATGTGACTTCGACTTGTGGGACACCACGTGGTGCGGGTGGGATGCCACTCAACTCAAACTTGCCAAGCAGGTTGCAGTGTGATGTCATAGATGCCTCACCTTCAAAGACTTGGATGAGCACGCCTGGCTGGTTGTCTGCATATGTCGAGAAGATTTGTGACTTCTTTGCTGGTATTGTCGAGTTTCGTGGTATCAGTGCTGTCATCACACCGCCAGCTGTCTCTATGCCAAGTGTCAATGGCGCAACATCAAGCAACAACACGTCTTCTGTTGCCTTTCCACCATTTCCAGTCAGAATGGCAGCCTGCACAGCAGCACCATAAGCAACAGCCTCGTCTGGATTCATGCTCTTGTTTATCTCTTTCCCATTGAAGAAGTCTTGTAGTATCTGCACAACCTTTGGAATACGAGTTGATCCGCCAATCAGCACAACATCGTCAATGCTCCCTTTGTCCAATTTGGCGTCTTCAAGCACCTTCTCGACTGGTGCGATTGTTGACTTGAAGAGGTCGATGTTGAGTTCTTCAAAACGCGCTCTTGTGATTGATGTGTAGAAGTCGATGCCTTCATACAACTGGTCGACTTCGATGTTTGCTGTTGCTGCCGATGACAGTGTTCGCTTTGCCCTTTCACATGATGTTCTGAGCCTTCTGACTGCTCGTGCATTGCCTGAAATGTCTTTCTTGTACTTTCTCTTGAACTCGGCAATGAAGTGGTTGACCATTCTGTTATCAAAGTCTTCGCCACCAAGGTGTGTGTTGCCGTTTGTTGCCTTCACTTCAAAGACTCCATCGTCAATAGCAAGAAGTGAGACATCAAATGTTCCACCACCAAGATCAAAGATCAAGACGTTCTTTTCTCTCTCTGTCTTCTTGTCAAGTCCATATGCTATTGCGGCTGCTGTTGGCTCATTGATGATTCTGAGCACATTGATGCCTGCAATTGTGCCTGCATCCTTTGTTGCCTGTCGCTGTGAGTCATTGAAATAGGCTGGACATGTGATGACTGCATTGTTGACTTTCCCACCAACAAACGCCTCTGCCGTCTCCTTCATCTTCGTCAGCACCATCGAACTGATCTCCTCTGGTGTGAACTTCTTAGTCTCTCCCTTGTACTCCACCTGAATCAACGGCTTGTCATTGCCATCGTTGACGACAGTGAATGACCAGTGCTTCATATCTTCTTGAATTGCTGGATCACTGAAGCGTCTTCCAATCAGTCTCTTTGCATCAAAGACTGTATTCTTCACATTCATCGCAATCTGGTTCTTTGCTGCATCACCAATCAGCCTCTCACTGTCTGTGAAGGCAACATACGATGGCGTTGTTCTGTTGCCCTGATCATTTGCGATGATCTCGACTCTGTCGTTTTGCCAGATACCGACACAGGAGTATGTTGTCCCAAGATCGATACCAACTGCTGTTCCTTTGTTTGCACTCATTTAATGAATCAATCAAAGTCCAACACCCTTTTATACTTCTCGTCGCCACGTCTTTATTATTTTTCATTCACAAAAGGGTAGCATCTCCCATGTTTGTGGCTTTCTTTTGTCTGTTATTAAGACTTTTTTTGAAATGACGTGTTTGCCATGTCATGTTTTATTTTTGACTTTTGTTGTTTTAATATTTTTTACTATTTATAAACTATTGACTGTTTATTGCAAAAAAGCTTATAATCTTGCCACGTCAGATTAATTAAATAGTTTTTAAACTATAAATATACTATTTGTATATAATACTAAATTTCAATGAATAAATCTATATTTATTTAATTATTGTTGTAGTTCAATTTATAGTACATTGCTACAAATTTAAAAATTGTTTTGTAAGAATAGACACTTGATAAGTGTTTTAATTGGTATAACTAAATTTGATAATAATACATCTATTATAATAAAAAAAATAGTACAAAGACTATCAGACAATTTAATCTATATTATAATGTACAAATAAATGTTCTTTCTTTCATCTTCAAAGTAACAAATATACTTATCAAACTAATATCATTAATACCTTTACCAAGATGGTTGAACAATAATCCAACCATTAATAATTAATACCAAACTGCAACACCAAATTGAATTACTTGTAGTGGACGATATCATGGATCAAATCGTTCAACGTTTGTGACCAAGCGTCGAGACATTCATAGATCTTCGCATCAAAATTGCTCTTGACTTGTTGATCATCTGCCTCGAACATGAAAGCGTTCTTCATATATTCGATATCATCTTCACTTCTCAACTCTGGAATACCCGTCGCAAGCATCAATCTAAACAAGTAAATGAACAGAGAGCCTTGCTTTCTTAATGACAATAACGCAGATGAGCACAATTCTTTGAACTCTTTGAAGTGTTCCGACTCGACTCCATCTTTGAATCCCATCAAATCGGCAAAGTGTGTTGTGAATTTGAATGGCGTTCTTTCTCTCTTGACACCAAACTTCGACTTGAAGTTCCCAAGGAAGTGTCCAAAATCAATATGGAAGAAGACACCTTCTCTTGTCAACATCACATTATCAGAGTGTCTATCACCAATACCAAGTAAATATGTTGCAACACAATACCCTGCACATGAATGCACAAAGTTGTCGACAGCCTGTTCAAATGATACTTTCGACTCCGGGCGGGAACATTGTTTTTGCATCCAAAGGGTGAGTACATCACTTTTCGTCACTGCAAGACGTCTTCCATCGTCCGCAATAATCTTCCCATACGTCTCCGAGTTCTTCACAAGCTCCAACATTCCCGTTTCATTGCCCGTAGCAATACATTGATATGGTAACATTCTAACATCAAGTTCGGCATTCTTGAGCATACTGTACATGATCCGAAGAATCTGAAGGGTTAAGATATCTTGTCTCAAGTCATCTCCGACCTTCTGAATGACGCACAAGTCTTCTCCGGCGGGGTCTAAGTTTTGTAATATCAACAACAAGGGTTTCTTCTTCGAGCTGAAAACATTCCCCGAATTGGGAACTGGCTTTGTGAATCGCATTCTTGAGTCAATTGGAAGTGCCTGGTTCTCCGGTAATTTGACTTTCGCCAATTGTTCGTACAAATACTGCTTTTGCTCGTCTTTCGTAGCAAGTAATTTCACATGGTTGGCAATATCAATTAATGCAATTTGGAAGTTGACCTCATTCAGTAACTCAAGTTGATACTTTCCACAACACCCAACAAATGCTTCAAGCAAGAGTCCATATCTCTCAGTGACTCTATTATCATGCAACTCGGCTTTCAAGAACCAAAAGAACTGATGTCCAATTCTGTTCTTATTTCTCAGTGCTCTTCTTAACAAGAAGAACGCCAATTCACTCGAGTGGTGCAACTCAAATTTCAATGCTTGGACTAATTGCGGAAGGAACATAATCAATTCAGCGTCGTCCATTGGTTCCAAGCATTTCAACGCAAAGTCTCGCACCTTTTGATCCGGAAATTTGAAGTCGAGCATTTCAATTGCCGTTTGAGGATCCAATAAAGGCCAGTCTGCTATTAATCTATGTAACTCGGCCACCATATGCACATTAGTTAAATCAACTGCAGCTACAACTCGCGACAAGTTCTTTGGTTTTGTCTTCTTGACAGTGTAACGCAACTTCCAAATCAATTCCGTCTCGTCTTCAGTCAACTTCTGCAACGGATTCGACTCCAACGCAATTTTAAACTTCTTCGTTTGGTCTGCGGTTAGCTTTTCAATATCTTTGTCGGACTTCACAGAGTCATCATTGAACGCGTCCATAATAATTGGAACTTCATACGTCGGATATGTGAATGTCAAGTAAATCGCCTTATCCCCGACGTTCTCGGAACACATCGAAATGAAGTTTGGACTCGCCATTTCCCACAACCCGCACTGGACACTTCCCATTAACAACATTGAGTTGTGATCAACGACCTTACAGTTAATAGTCCCAATAGGGTTATCTCGAGACTTCTCCTTCTTCTCATGTTCAACAACAGTGCCGATCTGTTCTTCCGTCTGGAAGACTCCAATCACCAATTTCGTCTCTTTAGGAAGAACGGAGATCTTCAAGTCAAATTCAATGGCAATGTCCAAATTCACAGTTCCATTGTTCACTTGGAAGACTTGTGTAGTGAACTGTTTGCCCAATTGCCTCGGACCATGGAAGAGAGCGGCTGTGACATATGCTCTGAAACTCACGATGTTCTGATACTCTTGAACAGGCGGTTCATCTTTATTTTCTTTTGTCTTCTTCTGTGGAAGTGGTTTGTAGTACACGCAGTTCGTCAACTTCTTGAGTGTGATAAAGTAGTTTCTATCAATAGAGCTCTGCGGTTGTGACGTTCGCTCCGTTTCAACTTTCTCCCACAAATTGTGTGACAATAGAGTGTTATACACACCATCAAACTTGGCGTCATTGGGGTTCAATGGTCCCAAGAATTGGTGTAACATCTTCCTTGGTTTCAAGTACAACTCGATCTTTTCTCCCTTCAAGACGCATCTTCTGATATAATCAAACTCAGCAAGAGTATACAACGTCCCATCTCTCTTCTTTGGTACCAAAAATTCGTGTAACCCTCGGACTTTCAACACAAAGTCCTCCGCTTTTTCTGAAGCGGCAAACGCGCCTTTATTGGTGATAGTAAATTTGGTGAAAAGTGACGAAATGACATTCTCCACCGTGTCTGTGGGCATGTGAGATATTGTTTTGTCCATTGACTGTTCAAGTAAGAACCCTTTCATCATCAGTCTCTTGTTTAAGTCTTGAATTGGCGGCTCATTCCCGCAGTACACATACTCATTCTCTTCAAGTAAGTACTTATCAAACTTACTTAACGCCTCTTCTTCCTTCCCACAGACCCCCGCAAGTGATCTTCTAAATTTGTAGAACTCCTCGCCAAACTTCCGGCACAATTCGACAAAGTTGTTTTGAATGATGTCGTACTTCATTGTTGATTGTAAGAGATAGTCACCAACCAACTCGACGGATTGGTATTGTAACACCGCCTTTCTTTCAACTAAGAAGAAATAAGGCACTACCCCATGGAAATTACACCCTTGAATGAACTTAAGATCTTTTAATGGTTTGCGACTGTCTTCATCGGAGACTCGATACTGTAAATCGGGGAGGGTTAATGCATAATCGCCTTTAATGTATACATTCGACTTACAAGTCTCAATCACTGAAGTCCCAATATCGTTCGTGTTCATCGCATACGCATAGAACTTCCCATTTCTGTCTTTCACAGCAACAAAGACTGTGTTCTCATCAACAATCACATTGATGTTTGTTGGTCGTGGTTCCTTCTTATCGTTGACTTGGTCCAAATCCTCTTTTCTCAGCAAAGAAAGAGGTGATGGGGTAATACCACTAGACAATGGTTTCACTTCAATTCGCTTTGGTAGGGGAGCAAGTGGAAGACCCGACCATGTGGTTCTTCTGAACGGAGATGCTATTATGTAATCAGAACGTTTCAATTCTGCCATTTTGTATGATTTTAAAGTTCTTTTTCGGAGTTCGGACAGTTTGGACCTTTTGGTTTTATTTTTTAATTGTAAGTTGAATTCTGGTCGTACAATTTTGATAGAGGACAAATTTGGTTAAGAAAGAAATAATTAATTATTAATTGGTCAACTATTATTTCTTCTCTGTTTTTTCTGTCGTTTTTTATAGTATTTTTAATAACTAATATATAATAATATTATAATATTATATCTTATATATCAAAATAAATAATAATATTATTATAAAGAATAAATAAAACTAAAAAGTATGTTTTTTTTTAAAGATAAAAAAAAAATCACAGAAATTAAAATGTGTATATTAACAATTTTTATTATACTTATTACTATTTCACAGATAATATAAATCCAAATGATATACTATTACTGTTCTATAATTTAATTATAAAACAATTATATTTCATTACACACTAAAAAATGTCATTAAACTATTAAAGTAAAAGGACATTTGAAATCTCGATATCTTGGAAACCTCAAACTAAAAAATATAAAAGGCATGTCGACAGACATCAAGACATTATTCAAAAATCATACCATTTTCCACAAAAAGGATGCGTCACTGCCCCGGATATATGTCGATGGGTGTTACGATATGTTCCACTGGGGACATGCCAATGTCATACGACAAGCTTGTGCTGCGTTTGATTATAAGTGTGTGTTGGTCTTAGGTATATGTGACAATCCAATCATTGAGAAACACAAGGGTCCGACTGTGATGACGGAAGAAGAGAGAAATTTGGCTGTTCAATCGTGTCAATGGGTTGATGAAGTCGTTGATGGAATTAATATATGGGACACTGATATTAATATGATGAAATTCTTTCACATCAATTATGTTGTTCACGGCGATGATATCTCAATGAATACGGTCACCGGAAAGAATAGCTACCAAGAAATTATCGATGCTGGAATGCTCAAATTAGTTCCACGAACAGACGGAGTCTCTTCGACCGATTTAATTTACAGGATGATGCACAGCGAAAGCAAAGAACATTGGTGTGGCCTCAAACATGCAAACCTTTCTGTTGAGAAGTTGAGGATGTTCTCCTCCACCAAAAAGGAGAGAACCAAAGACGACAAAATTGTATACATCGATGGGAGTTTCGATATGTTGCACGCAGGACACTATGAGTTGTTCCGTAAGGCCAAAGAGCTTGGAACGTATTTGGTTGTAGGTGTTTTCGATGACGAAACAGTCAATGGGTATAAAGGGAAGAACTATCCCATTCTTAATTTGGGAGAAAGAGTGATGGGACTTTTGGCGTGTCGATACGTCGACGATGTCATCATTGGAGCCCCCAAAGGAGTGACTAAAGAAATGATCGAAAGAATGAAAATCAGTTGTGTAGTCCATGGGAAGTGTGAGAATGGTATTGGAAAGAACTTTTATAGTGATGCTGTTGATATGGGTGTGTATAAAGAAGTCGACTCGGGAAAAACTTTAACCTCAGACGAAATCATTGAAAGAGTCAAAGAGAGAGAAAAGTTGTTTGAGGCCAGAAACGCTAAGAAGATCAGATAATTTAATTCTTCTTATTACTTATTTAATTACAAATAACTAATATTTATACCTTTAAATTATTATATCAATTATTATTTTTATTTAATGATTTAAAACTTTTTTAAACATCATTTTAAAATTATTTTATAATAATTATAATAATATAGTTAAAAACGTAAAAAGTGTTTTTGGAAAGTATGCCAACTGATTTTTTATTATCATTTAATGAATCTCTCCGACCTCGCAAAAGCACATAGCGACGTACTTCAAACGATTTCTCCAACATTAATGGAACTTGAAGAAAATTTTCATATCAATGCATTTGTGACTGAAAGAAGTCTTAATGTCAGAATACTAATTTCTAAAGAGACGGTACTGGAAATAGAAAGTCCTTTTAAAAAACACTGGCAAACATTTGAATACAAACTTATTAGTTCTAAAAAATATGAAGAAAATAAATTCATCCAACACAATGGCGTGTTAAACATAAATTCCTTACCAATTCAACCAGACAAGAATTACACAAATTGGATTCGTCAACTCATTCAATTGATCAAAGACACGCCGTTTGATTACAAAACCCAACTTGAGACATTCAAAAAGAACTTGGATGTCACTAAAGACTATAAGAACCGAACTTCACAGAAGTCAGTGGATGGTCTTTGTTATATTCTCAAACCCGAGGCTCAAGCAATTTGGAACACAAAACACCGACAATGGCTTTCTACCAAAATGAAAGAAATTGAACAATTGATGAAGTCAATGATCAAAGACAAGAAGATGACACAAGAAGAGTCCGACCTTTTCAAACACGTCATTTTGGAGAGTGTAAATGGTAAATAACTCATTTATTGTAATTTGAATTAAAGTGTTATAATAGTTACAATCACAAGATGCTCCTCTGTGGTTTGCGTTGGAAGAGATTCACACGAATTTCAATAGCCTTGTTCAGTATTTTTGAAAAGGCAATGTCGTCGATGTTCTTCCAGTAATTCCTGTTAATCGAGTTGATCTGTTCGATGTCTTTTAAGTCGTTTATACCCATCAAGACACTCTCTATTATAGCAGCAGCCATACATACTATACCTTGCCGAAATCCGTTAGCTCGTGGGTCGGACACAAGTCTATCCCATATCATTATCACTTGCTCGACTTTGAACTCGCGACTGAACACACAGACAAACCACCTCCAAGTCTGTTGTTTTAATATTTGTTCTTCCAATTCTAATGCGCGGGAATTCATTTTCTTTAAAGTTGTGATGAAGTCTTCCATTAAGCCTACTGCGTGGATCTCTTTGAGTTCGGAATGGATGTTCACAGAGAGTTGTACATCAATGGCCTCAAGAAATGCATAAGATGAAGACTCTATTTGCTTCATCTTTTGCAGTGGAATTTCAATGATTTTCTCTTCAGTCAGTTGCTGTTTAGTGTACATATCAAGTAAGACTATTATTGCAATAGAAACAATGTCATTCAGTCCTTGGAAATACCCATGTGGATGAAAATACAAAAACATTCGGAGGATTCTTCTTAGCATCTAACTATTATTCAATTAGTTAATTAATTAATTAATTAAAATTATACTACCAGCGAAGTAGATGAAATACAAACTGTTCGTAACACATCAAGTTGAAATAGTCGATCATACCCTATTGGATACGTCCGTGCTACATCCCAATCTATTACCTCAGCATCTTCCGCATTTAGTTTATCAGTCGTTTCAATGGTGTTGTCTGTGACATTCTGCCAATACCTCTTGTGTTGAATTGGGTTGTGCAGATTTCTGATATCATTTGCGTCTTCGGGTTTCAAAAGAAGGGCATACCATACAAACCCTCGGACTTTTCGTGGAATACCAAAGCAACAAATCTGTTGCACTTTGTTGTAGTCACAATTTAAAAGATAATGACAAATTAAACTCGAATCATCATCATTACCATCAAATGTCACTTTGTCGACAAAAAAATTGGAAACAGCAGTGGACGTTTTTTTGAAAAAAGAACCCAACGTTGACGCAAAAAAAGTGCCAACAACAGATATGTCGGGAAAGAGTTTTTCGTTATCGTCACTGTCGTTTTTGGACATTTTAACTTTTTTTCGTTTAATTTTTAGTTTCTTCATAGTATTGTTTAGTTATTAACTTCTAAACGAAAATTTTTATTATAGTTTATTAACACTGATAATTAATTAATTATATTTTTACTAAATATTTAAAAATAAACTATATACTATTCTAACCAAATTATTATTTATTAACAATATCAATAATAAACGGACATAATGCCATTTTTTTGGCTATGGTCCTATAAAACTATAATATAGTAAATGGTAATAGTTTGATAATTAATTATATTAATTAATTTTTATTACTTATGAATTATTATTATTATAGATCAAAAATTTAAAAAATATAGAATTATGAAATAGAATGCTTAATAAGTGAAAAACAAAATAAAACAACTTCCCGAAACATTCCAATAATTAACAATCAAAAATAGGGAATAGTATTTAATATCATACTTTTAAAATAAATGGGACTTAACAATTAATAATAATAGTTTTGATATAAAGAAATATAACCAAAACGATATTACAACTTTTAAAAGTTAGTAAACTCCAAACATTAAACAATATGTATTCAATCTATTCACTCGACATAGAAGAATTTTTGCTCCAACCAAACGAAAAGAGACTTTTCATTCTCGAAGAGTGTGTCAAGTCATACCGAGCAAGGCAAGAACATGAGAAAATGTTAACGTTTAATTGTAGTGTGTGTATGGAGGATGTTCCTTTCGATGATACTTATATCAATGTGTGTGGTCATCGATTTTGCAAATCGTGTGTTCGTGACTCCATTAAATACCAAATGAAACAAACGTGGGAAAAAGTCCATTGTCAAGAAGGTGGTTGTTTTCAAGTTATAGACATATCAGATATTCTCCTTTACAACTTAATTGAGGACAAAGCCTTACTTCAGAACTACACAGAAAGGCTCGACAAAAAGACGTTTGAGACTTCAATCAAATTATGTCCAAAATGTCACAAAGAGTTGTTTTTAGTCTGCGACAAAGGGATGGCTGCGTGTGTTTATTGTGAGTACACTTTTTGTCGGGAGTGCTTAGAGCCATGGCATGTCGGACGAACATGCGAGCAGTGGAAAGAGTTCATCAAAAACGAAGATGAGAACAAAGAACGGATGGTGCAGTGGATTAAACAAAACACCAAGATATGTCCAAGATGCAAAAATCCCATTCAGAAAAATGGAGGGTGTAACCACATGACTTGCAGGTTAGTTCTATTGTGCACAAAACACATTTTTGTATTATAACATTAAATGTATCGAATCATTTTAACAAAAAGGTGTGGACACCAGTTCTGTTGGCTCTGTATGGCCGACTACAATTCAAACCATTGGAGCACAAACACAACTGGATGCAGACAGTTCACTAATTGATTATTGTATCTGAATTTGTTGTGCAGAGCACATCTTTAAGCAAAAAATGCAAAAGCCAAAATGCAACGTACTAAAAACAGTTTTGTCACTTGTTCTGTCGACCTTTCATCAAACCAACAGCTATGTCAATGTCCCCATCCGCTGAGCGGATTGCAGTGATTATTTCCTTGTCATTGGTAAAACCAAGCATTTTCATCACGGCCATTTTCGACTTCTCAACCTCACTGAGCTCCTCAAACAAGTTAAATGGTGTTGAGAGCATTTCTGTCATTCTAAAGTCTTCGTTTGTTTTTTCTTCTATACTCTCTTCTGTGTTTTCTTCTTCTGGTTCGTCGTCATCAATAACTGTCTGGTTGTGATTCATAAGAAATGTTAGAAAAGAGTTGAACTGTGACTGCTTGACTGGTATAAGCTCCGCACCGAAGGTAAAAAGCGCCTCCAAGTCTTTGTAAGACATGGCGCTGTCGACAGGGACCTCTTTTGTCTGTGTATTTTCCTCTTCTTCCATTTTTTGTTCTTCCTGTTCTTGGATAAATTCTCCTTTTTTTCCCTTTGTAAGAATGATGATTGGTGAGTTGTTTGTGTTCTCAAATTTGGTTAGGCAGGTGTTTACAACTTCCTGCGCATTGTGATAAAAGCAGTACCTGTTTGGGTCTATTCCCAGCGTTGAACATATTGTCGCAACGATACTTGACTCCGTACTCAGCGACGGAAATATAACCTTACCTCGTTTTGAACCCGAGACCAAGATATACTCAATCTCCATGTGTCACTTCCTCCCATTTTTTTCCCCTCTAACAAACCTTTGTTCCTCCATTTTCAATCAAATAAAATCTTTGTCTCTTTTAACAACAATTCTAGTTATATAACTATAAATAATAGTAATAATAAAAATTACTATAATAACTAAATTTTTAGTAAAACTTTTAAATTATTTTTAAACAATGTAGTATTTAATGAGAAACAAATTCGCTGATTATTATTCCTTTGACGCAAAAAAGATTCAAAAATTGCAACTTCACTATTTGTTAAATCTCAAAAATTATATTTAAAACATAGAGATGAATCGGTTTTGACCATTTGTCTTTAGAATAATACAACAAATTAATTGAATAAATCGGGGTTTTAGGTAAATGTATTTCAAGATTCACAATTGAAAATGTTTTGCCCAAATCAAGGAGATTTGCAACCGAAATTGCCGATGACCTTTAAAGTTGGCGAATTAGGTCGGAGGCTCGACCAAAGTCAAGGGTTTTTATCGCAAATAAAAAAGCCATTTTTGGATTTCCATTCCATAAAACAACAAAATGTTTTTCAAAACTGATTGTGTAAATTATTCGTTTGCAAGCCCAATTTTTCGGGTCAAACACCAACAGTTTTGAAAATAAAAGAAGTGTTGTATTATTAATTGATTAAAACATAACTATTAAATAATGGTTATATGTTGAGATTTGTTCAAATGAGACAATCGGCAAACCGCCATTTTTTTTTACATATTTATCTTAAAATAGTCAATGTCTACCCTCAAGTACGGGAAAATGCAACTTAAAAACAGAAATAGCATAAAAAGCCTGCAAATTATAATAGAAAAAATAGTAATTGGGAATTATAGCTTCGTATGGTTCTTTTATAGGTCTTTCGAAACCAGAACTTCCAAAAATAAACAATAAAATTTTAGTCAAAAATGCTTAAATATACGCCGAGATGTTCACAAGTTTTTTTTTATTTTTTATTGCAAACTGTACTATATAAAATTATAATTACAAACAAATAGTTGAGATAATTAATAATAATCTCAGAAAAACAAAAATCATGCACTTTTGGGACACAAAGAAAAACAAAACTGTCAGGGTTATTTATTGACTCCATTTCCGTTCAAATTAAGTGATATTACCCCCAACAAATGGGAACTTCAGACGAACTGGACTTTTACTGTAAGAAAATTCGAGACCGTTCGATCTTAGTTTTTTGCTATTGAGTTTTAGCACAAAAAGTCATGTTTTGCCCTCACCCCATTTCCATAATTTGTTTTTTTTGTAAATCCAAAAATACAATGTACAGTTCAATAATAACAAAACCATCTTTTTTAATAGTTTGCATACCGAAGTCAAATCTTGTAATTTATCGCTTTTTTCTTTTGTAAAACTTGTTTTGTAAAAAACAACGTTCTATTAATACCCAATTCGGTGGTTCCCCGATTTTTCAGTTGAAAGACGCTTATTACCCAAAAGTATTTTTCATCTAACTTGGCAAAAAGAAATCGGACTCTGTCATAGTTCTGATTTATGTGGATTTTTCCAAAAAATCAAGGCGTCTTCCCGACTATACACAACAACCAAAACTTCGCCTCCCCACTCATTTATTAATACTTTTTATAACAAAACAAGCCATTCGAATAGTTCCAAAAACGCAAAGTTCGCCTTTGTCAGTCGGGACTAAAACCTGCTTTTCGTCGCAGGATAACTTTCATCAATAACTGGAAACCTTCCTATAAAAAAAAAGCTCACTGTCAATTCATTGTTTCACCACATGAACTCAACCCGCCAGAACGTCGAGGAATTATTCATCGGACCAGAGATCGACGTCTCTCGGCTCCGTGTTCTTCTGATCAGTGGAAAACTTGACCCCCACAGTAAATTACGTTCAAAAGTCTGGCAAATCCTCTTAGGATATCTTCCTCCAAACCAACTCACATGGGGAGAAGTCATTCAACAAAAGACTCAACAGTACAAGACAAGTACAACACAGGTCCTCCCTTCTATCGTTGGAACTTCAGACTTTTTGGATTGTCCACAGCTCACTCCAAAGAAGTGTACAAGTCCACTCAAACAAAAACATTCCCCTTTACTCACTGAGTCGCAACTGACGTTTAATTCAGAAAAGTCGGGCTCGGAGTCCGATAAGAATTCCGACGATGAAGGAGTCTTAGTGGGATCAAGTCATTCATTCGAACAACCAAACCCTGTTCTGAACTTACCAGAACGCTCTCAATCCTCCGCAGCTTGGTTCTCTCCACGAGGATTTTTCGACAGTATCATCCGGTCCCGTTCTAACTCAACCCCCAAGAAGGAGAAGTGCGCCTCGACTAACGCGACAAGAAGCCAACTGCGGACAATCAACAACGACGTCCCCAGAACAGCTACTTTGCTCAAGTTTCCAGAGGAAGAGGCTGAGATCCATAGAAATGCACTTCGTCGTATTTTGTATACCCTGTTGTGTGTCGACAACATCAAGTACACTCAAGGCGAAAATGAAATAGCGGCAGTCCTTTACTACGTCTTTGCTGTCACCCCAAATATCATTGATTATTACGCGGCAGAGGTTGCCGCGTATTACTGTATGAAGACTGTGATGGGGGAGTACTCTCATTACTTCAATGAGAAAGAAGACGACAAACCAGAGGGGATCAACACGGCGATGAACGAAGTCATGAGAATACTAAGAGAAGAAGATAACGAGTTGTACAACAACATGAAAACAAAGAATGTTGAAAACGCGTTGTATTTGTTGCGATGGATCTCCTTAATGATGGCAGAGGAGTTACCAACAGACTCGTTGATATTACTGTGGGACAGACTTCTGACTGATTTGAAGTCAAAGAAGTATTTGATGTATTTCTGCGTGTCAATGCTCCTCTCCGTCAAGGAAGAAATCATGTCCACTGGGTTCTGTGGAACACTGAAAATCCTCCAAAAATTCCCAAGAAGAGAATTCAATGATTTGGATATGTTCACTCGCTATATGATTAAATACCCAAAGAAGGTCAGAGACCCGTATGGGTGCGATAGAATCTCGTCACCCTTGAGCGTGTTCATGACCTCCAGAATCCCTAAACGTTCTTGTACTACACCAAGCGGATTCCAACCTCTTCTTTTCACGTCAATTATTTGAATGTTTCTTTGTTTTTGTATTTGTTGGAACATCAGAATAACATCACAATGTCCGTGAAACTATTTCTTAATTGAGTTCTTCTTATTCGTTTTCTTTCTATTAGAAACTATAATATTAATTATAACTAATTATTTTCTTTATCAATAATTACTAGTATAACTAGTATAAAATAGTTTTTAAGTTACTGTGTATAATACAAATATCGTGTAAATATAATAAAATATATTGTAAAATAAACTAGAATTATAAAAAATGTCAAGAAGAAGTCAATTGTTAAAGGTCTTCATCAAGAAGTGAATAAATATAACAGTCGCGGTATTTCCCATCGAGAAAGAGTCTTTTGCGTTCAATTCCTTCGTTGACAAAATTGTTCCGCATTGCAACGTTTTGACTTTTGAAATTGGTAGTTTCAACGCGCAATTCGACTCTGTGGAGATGCAAATTTTTAAGTGCAAAATTTGACAAAGAAAACAAAGCATTTGTCATAACACCTTTTCCTGTCTCTTCTTTTGTGAGCCAATACCCAATTTCACACACTTTATTGAATTGGTCATTCAAATCCAAATTAATTATCCCACAAAACGTCGTGTCTTTTCGTATTGTGTAACACTTCGTCTTGATATTCTTGAGGGTCATTGTTATATACACTTCTACATGTTCTTTGGTTTCTACATTTTCAATAAAAGGTATTCCACTTTTCAGGTGTTCTTTACTTTTTAATATCCCACAAAAAATATCGTCCACGTCACCCATATTTAATGGAACAAGGTAAATGCCATTTTTCCCTTCAATTGCCATTCCAAAAATGTGAACAGTTCAGTTCAATTCGAATTTAGAGTTCCAAAAAGACCGAAAAGTTAACAAATTCTATACTTCTGGTATAATCAAACTATTTGAAAAAATTGCTAAGATACGTCATAACCACAGAAAAGAAAATGTGACTCAATACACAACAATCATGTTACTTGAATTTGATCACAACAAATTGCTTTGTGTTAAACTTCTCGGGGTAACTTGAACCGCTGAGTGCGCGAGTGTTTCCTTTATACTCAAAAGTACTCTGCAAACAATAGTCTCTCTTACTATGTTTCTTTGCGACTCTAATGTCATTGTTCCCGACGACAAACAAACACGCTTCAGTGGGCTTACTCACCCAAAACACTCTCCCTTGCTTATTTGCTTTCAACTCGAACTTCTGTGGTTCTTTCATCCTCCCGTTCGAAAAGAGTGAAAAGACAAACGCATTTTGGTCGTCAACCCACGCCCCAATAACATCAATTTTGGCATGAATGTATCCACCAAATCTATTCCCGTTTGTGTCCTCAACAACAATAGCAATATCAGACTGATCCATCACAGCATCAACAAACTCATTACTCGTCTTAGTATAACTATCGACATTGGAGTCAAAGAGCACTTGGTCGACTTTCTTCCCACTCCACTCCTCGATTTTCTCGACATCGTCCTTCCCAAGAAAAATCTTGTTCAACACATGGTACTCTTCCTTTTTCCCTTTGTCACTCTTGTCCTTCCGCGACTTCCGAGTTTTCTTCATTGTTTTGTTTGGGCTTTTGTCATCAAGTGTCTTATCGTCTAAAAGGGTATCATCGTGTAACATCTCCGACTTCATTTCTTGTGACATTTCTGGTGATAGAAGGGTGTTTGACGATTTGACGACTTCCTCAGTCGAGTCTTCCATCAAGTTGTCTTTCTCTTGTTTCTCTCCTTTCTCGACTTTTTCAATTGGTTTCTCCAGTGGAAGATCATTCAATTTCTCGATTGGCTTTTCAAAGAGTTTTAACTTGTCTGTTTCTAAGACTTTAATGTCTTCATCTTTTGCAATCAAATTGACGTCTTTTAAATTTGGTAGTTGCGTCAATTCTTTATTCTCTTTGCCTTCTTTTAACGACTTTAAGTCTTTCAAATCGGTCAAGTCTTTATTTTGGCGGACTAATATAGGAGGGAGATTGAGCACAGCTTTTTCTTTCATGTCGGGTTTGGGTTCTGCCCGTCCCTCGTTTTTTGGTTCGGTGTCGACTTTCACGGGTTGTTCGATTTTTTCGACTTTCTCAAATTTATCGAATTCGATTTCGTCGCTTTTTTCCGCCTCGTTTTTGACAAACAAATCCCATTGGTATGGTTGGTCTTCAGCAAAGAATGATTCCGTTAAGAATCCGTCTGTTTTGATCATTTGTTTGTCGAAGAATGATTGTCGGCGGGTGTGTTGTCTTGCGAGTCTTTTTTTCCTGAAAGCCCCGATCTTCATTTCTTCGTTAAATCGTTTTTCCTCTTGCGCAGCCATAATTGTGATGACTTCGTTATTCAATTTGGCTACTGTCGAACCTTGCTCTTTACACTTGTTCATGACTTCTTCCATTAATTCGCACATGTCGTCCAATTCGTCTTGTGTGTCCGCAACTATTTTCATTAATTCGAATCTATTCTTCTCGCTCTTGTGAATTTGTTTGATATAATTTTGACCTTCTGAAATGACGGTGTCGGGACTTTCATTCTCATTCACTCGAAACGGGGTAGTAATAGTGTTTTGTAAAAGTCGTTCAACGGTCTCTTTTATCATCCGGATTTTCTCGTCCACTGTCGATGAACACGCTTTCAAGAAAAAAAAAGGGTTTTGCAACTTTTGGTCTTTTTCGTCGCTCATTTTTTAATTGCCAGTTTTGTCGTGTTGAAAAAAACTCATTCCACTTTTTCTGTGAAATTAAGAAAACGGGAAGTAACCCTAGTACTAGGGTTACTTTCTTTCCTTTAGAAAATTTTCAGATGGGAGATAATCATTTACAGATTATATTTTGACGTATTGAATTGTCAGTTCCGATTTAAAATTAAAAAGGAAAAATACAAAGGAACTTAAAAAAGAAGGAGCGAAGTGAATGGATAAATTGACACAACTGATTGCGCAAAACAACGAAGAAGATTTGAAGGAGATTCATGCCATTTCTACTGAAAGTTTGTAGGTTTTATGATTTATAATTTGTGAATAAAGATGACTGGTAGTGTATAAACAAAACCCTAATGATGGGAATGTATTTAAAGTGTTAATTGTCTCCTCGCTGCGCTTAAAAAAAGACGTCACTAAGTACCACGACGAAATGATCAAAAGCCAAATGACATTTGAGGCTGCTCTGAATCTGTTTAACAACAACCAGAACAAAGACGCTCTCAAATTGTTAACAGGAACATCAGAGAGAGAAACACTTCTTAAGGCACAAATTGTTTGTTGGTCTTATTAATAGTTAAATTACTAATGAGTGGAAGTGTACACCACTTTCTTTATCATAAATAATAACTCACGCGTAGAACCAGAAACTCGGCAATTACAAAGAAGCGGCTAATATGTATGCGGAAATACTCAAAACAACGAAACTCGCGAAGACGGGCATCCTCACTAATTTGGCTGCTTGTATCGCAAGTGATAAAACAATCGACTACACTTTACTCGGATCAAAAACTTCCGATTTCAATTCACAGACGTTTGGAAATGCTGCTATGGTCATGCTTCAAAATAATGAGTTCACAAAAGCAGAAAGTTACTTGAACAAAGCACTCGGAGCATCTGCACTGACAGACACAAAAACAGAAGAAACAGAGGATAAAGCCGAAAAGGACGAGGCAAAGGAGAAAGCTTTGAAGAAGAGAAAGGAAAAGAGACAACGAAGAAGACAAAACCAAATGATTAAGAAGTACGGGAAGAAGGACGTCAAAACTCTGAACCCAGAAAGGTGGGTTCCAATGTACCAAAGAAAAAGAGCTAACAAAAAAAATACACCACAAGTCCCCCTTCAGAAGCAAACAACAAAGAAATAATTGATTTTATTTGGTACAATATTACTAGAATTATTTTACTATTATTCTAGTATTAATAATGGTGACGAATTTTTTTGTTCATACTTTTTGTACTACTATTTATAATAATTATTATTATTTAAATTAAGAAAAAAAGTTTTGTAGTTTAAAATATTGTATTAAATTTATAAAACAAAAAATCAGTAAAATAACTACAAAGTATCAGTCATTTTATACTTTTTTATAATTAAGTTATTAATTTATTAGTATTATTATTTTTATTTACAATTAATATAAGTAATAATATATTATTATATATATTTATTAAACCATTCACAATTTACATTAATATACATCGTTTATAACTAACAAGATCGAATTTAATCAATCAAAATAAATTATAATTACTTAATAATTTAAGTACATCTTTGATGTATTTCATTTTTGAGATCTTTAACAACTGAGCATTAACAAACCATTTATATAACAAACTATTACTCGAGGAAAGAAACCAACGTGGTTTGAAATTCAACGTTACCCAAGATACTATTATGATCGCAGCTATCAACTATAAAAACGAACCTTTTTACTTATATTTTACATCATCCTTGAGTCTTATTGCATACTACACATTAATGATTTTATCGTTATTTCATGCACTATGAACAAAGGCATTCGAAAAGCCCGACTGAGTTTTCGTTGTTGTTCGTGTCAGTAAATTGAATGTAACTCGACCGGCAATTTTTTACAACACAACACTTAGTAAACACACTCAACGACACAACAGCACCAACAATACCAGTCAACCCCCCTTATCATTATTTTCCCGTTTTTTATTACTCTACCGAGCCAAAGTGTTGGTTTGCTCTGATAGAATGACTTATTAGTTAATATTTTGTGTTGTAATATAGTTTTAACTATAGTTTTTACACTTCATTTAAATAAATAGATTATAATAAAATATTTAATATTATTTCATAAAAAAATAGTATACTATATTTTTAAATAAATATACTATAATATTTAATAAATATTTAAATTAAAAATATAAAAATTATTTATTGGAAGGTTTTAAATTACCAAAAATGCATTATCCAATAACGTGGCATTTCTCGAAATAATGCAAATGCTTTTCGTAGTGTAATTCGTGAATAAATAATATTTTATAACAACTAATACCAATAGTATCGCCATTAAATTTCGACGATTATTTTACTACCTATTTGGGGCAGCATTCCTGACCGTTTTATCAAGAATATTTTAAACCCGGGTTTGATGTTTTTGAAACAACCAGTTTACTAGACGACCGACTCTTTTTGAAAAAAAACTACCCACTCACTTTCAAAGAGGATTCTCAAAATAAAATACTTTGTTTTAAGTGAATGAATCATTTAAAACCTATAATATATACTAACACAATTATTAATTATTGCGAAACAAATAACGGATTCTAATGACCCCCAAAAGTATCTTAGATATCAATTGGATGCAAAAGCTCGATGCGAACATAATGTTTGTGGTCGCTCAACAGTTCCGCTCTGTCTCGGACTTTGTCACACTTGAGATGGTATGCAAGAAGTTTCAAGATACAAACAATCGGTTTCACTACAACCCCATTCCTTTAGATAAAAAATTCAGAAAATTGTTTCCAGCAATCGAGACGTTTTATGTCTATTCCGAGCAAGACAAAATCTATACAGACATGAACATTAAAAAGGTCGTCATCCTCTATGACGTCAATTTTGAGACGTTTCTCAAACAACAAAAAAAGAAGTATGTTTACACCAAACTCGAGTTATCAAAGGAGAATTGTGTGAAGTACTGCGAAAATTTCAAAATACCAAACGCGATAAATATATTAGGGACAGAATGTTTCAGTGAGTCCGACATTTCGAAAGCAACAATCCCGTCTTCTGTATTTTCGATTGGAAAAGGCTGTTTTTCAAGTTGCAAAAAGTTGTCAAAAATTGTGTTTCCACCAACCGTCAATTTCGTTGGTGAAAATTGCCTGAGTGACTGTGATAATTTGGTGTCTGTAGCATTGTCGAGTGGCATTAAAAGTCTTGCAGATGGCACTTTCTCGGGGTGTAAAGCGTTGACAAATATTGTTATTCCCCAAACGGTCGTGTCTTTTGGCGCAAAGTGCTTCTACCAATGCTCTTCGTTAGGGTTTGTGAATTTGCCAAATGTGGGGTCTTCCATTGGAAAGAAGTGTTTTAACCAGTGCACGTCACTGAAGACAATAACAATTCCAATTGGTGTTAATGTTCTTGACTCGGATACGTTTTATCAGTGCTCTTCGATGACTAAAATCGACTTCCCAAATTCATTGACATCGATTGAAGGAAATTGCTTTTCAGAATGTCATTCCCTTGAAAACATGTATTTACCAAGAAATCTTGTGAGACTTGGAGGAAGTGTATTTCAGGGGTGTAAAGGGCTGTTGGATGTGAATATCCCAAACACAACAAAATACATTGGCAGTCGGTGTTTTTATTACTGTTCTAAATTATCAAATGTGGTGCTTCCTTTAAGTTTGACAGTGATCAAGGCAAGTACGTTCTGTGGGTGCGTTTCTTTACATTCAATTTTGTTACCGACTGATTTGAAGTTGTTGAAAAAAGGATGTTTTTATGACTGTTCTTCGCTCACTGAAGTCACATTACCAAGCACTTTGACGGAAATCAAAGACGGTTGTTTCAGTGGGTGCACCTCCCTTCTCAATTTAAACGTCCCAACGACGATAACACATTTCAGTGAGTATCTCACAAATGGGTGTCTTTCATTCAAAACGATATCAATAAGTGATTCTGTCGTTTCTTTGGACGGAAACTGCTTTGAACGGTGCATCTCACTCAAAACAGTTTCTTTGCCCACGTCACTCACATTCATTGGAAGCAAGTGCTTTTCTAAGTGTTACTCATTACTCCCCTTTCAAATCCCAACAAGTGTGAAATCAATTGGTGAGGAGTGTTTCTATGAGTGCATTAAATTCGATTCATTCACAATTCCAACTTCAGTTGACAAAATTTCTGCGGGGTGTTTCTGCAGTTGCTCTTCATTGAAAAATATTGACATCCACTCGGGCATAACTTTAATCGAGGAAAACGCTTTTTGCTCATGTTCTGCGTTGCAAAAAATCGAACTTCCTCAAGACCTCACGTTTTTGCCAAACCAGTGCTTTTATGAGTGCAACAGTCTCTCGGCCCTCAATATACCACAGAAGGTACAATTCATCGGAGACGCTTGTTTTTATAACTGTTCATCATTGTCCGGTATCTCAGTACCATCCACTGTCACTTTCATCGGGAGTTTTTGCTTCCACAAATGTAACTTGGTTGTTTAATACCTCCATTTAAATAATTATTTCTCATTTTCTTTTCAGTTTGTGATAATATATAGTTGTTTTTAATATATTTATATTAGTTTACTAGTTTTGGTTTTATCGCGATGATGCGACAAAAATGTAAAGCACATTGAACCCAATAACACTTTATTAAGTTTAATAGTATTACAAAATAACACAAAAAAGAAACCAAAGACACACACAAAACATTAGAAACTTGCAATAAAATTGAATATGACTTACGAGTCACGTTTATTGAAATAACATAACAATTTGTTGTCTTCTCGTTTTTGTCGCGTTACCCTTAAAGGCGGTTGAGAACATTGAAGTTCTTTCTCCGTTGACCGCCTTTCGAAGCAAAAATTCTCGTGTTGCTGGTTCATGTTTGAAGTACGCTGAAGTCATGAAAGGAGGGAATGGGTTGACAGAAGATTTGCATCCAACATTGATAGTGTACCCTTCATTATCTTCAGTGTTTGTGTCGGGCTGAACAACAATGAAAACGTCTGTTAGTCAGTTTGTGCAACACGCTTGAATTGAATACAATAAAAACAAACGATTGAACTGTGAAGTCAAACACATTGGGTTGAACTTATTGCTATCATTACCTGCTTCCTTGAATATAAAGACGATGACATCATTCCCAATATGTCGTTTCTTTTCAACTCTTTGCAAATCGCCGGGCTGTTCTGGAAGTAAAGTTGAGACGTGGAACATTATCTCGTAGCACAAATACTGAGTAAAGTAACTATATGCCCCAGTACTTCCACTTTTCACATCAAGACCTCCTCGATATTTATCAAACCCTTGTAACGTGACCTTGTCCGCCAACAAGTCAAGGAACTTATAAAATGCAGGGACGGGTGTTGTGTTACCAAACATGTCATCTTCATTCGTTTGGTCTTTTTGGCAGTACAACACTCCAAATTTATAGTGCGTGATAGCAGCCATATTCTCGTACCGAGCAACCTCTTTCTCGAATTTGTCGACATCTACGACCTTTGAAAATACACCTTTCGTTAAGTCTGGAAATGCAGGTTTAAATTCCTTCATCTTAACAATTTCATTTGGTATCAAACACCGAATATTTCCTCGTTTCGACATTACAATTCCTCTTCTGAATCCATTATTAACGCCGGGTATCACACTTAGTACAGTCGGTTCATCGGTTAATGTATAATGTTCAGCTTGAGCTATTTGTTATTTCTAACACAAACAATTGAATCAGAACAAACGGTTTCCTTTCACGTATCTCTCGAAAAAACAGAAGTCCGAAGTGATATCGACGATCAAGTACTCTTTAAGGTCAGTGGAATTGGTTGCTGCTCCCCGTCCAATTTCAATACAATACCCTTCCTTCACACAGTCGTTTGTAATCACTGCTCGAGTTTCCCACCCTTCCGCATACTTCATTTCCCACTTTTCTACAGGCACAACAGGGGAACTCCACTCGTCAAACAGTAATTGGCTGTTGTGCATTTCCGTCACCAATTCAAAATATTCTTCGGGTGATTTGATTGTTCTTTTGTTCAACAACGTAATTGGAGGGTTGAGGGGTATCATCGCTCTCTCCGTTTTACCGTCGTACTTAACAAGTGGGTTTTCCGATTTACTGTCGGGCTTAATCGAAAGAATCTGTGAGAATCCAGTAGGCTCGCTGATGACAAAATCCTCATCGGCGTGTTTGTCTTTCTTCTTAAATATGCCAAAAACCTTTTTCTTTTCTTTCTTGTCGTCCTTTTTATCTTTTTTCTGGACATCCTTAACTTGTGTGCAATTCTCCAGTTGTACATTTTGAGGGCTTTGAATGCTTTGTGGGCTTTGTGTTGATGCAGGGGCTGAGTTATACCCTCCTCTAAAAGCCTGTTGTTGGTCGCTTGGATACGATGGTGCCACGTTGATGTTTTGCACCATCACACTAGTTTGAGGTTGTGTAACAGGTTGTGATGTTACACTTGGAGGGTTAGTTCTTTGAATAGGTGGGTTTGTCAAGTTCTGTTCTTTGTGGATTGGTTTAGGTGGTGGGGGTGGTTTATGTTGGGGCACAGGAGTGCCATTCGATAGCCTTTCTGGACTTTGTTGGTTTGAAACATTTGGCGATGTCGAGCCTGAGACTTTAGCAGGGTTCCAAGGCTTTTTGTAAGCTAGTGGTTTAGGTGGAATAGTAGGAGGTTTTGGTGGATATTTCATGTGATGGGGTGATGGTGGTTGTTTTAAGTATCTTTCTCCTGTTGCATCCAAAGACATGTGAGCCTGAAGTTTTGTGTTTTGTTGTTGGTCGCCAAAGAGTCTGTCAGTTACAGTTTTCCGTGGAGATTTTGGTTGTGAATATTCCAATGAAGGAAGTGGTAATATTGGGGGCTCTTCCGACATAAAAGAAGAGTTTGAATTTCAAGTTTTAAAGTTACTTTGTTTTGGCAGAATCTGACCGTTCACTTTTGGCTTTGACGTTATCTTTTGCAGTTCTCTATTTACTCTATAATTCTCGTCGCAACACACTTAATTGTATTGATCAACTTACTATTCGTTTTTAGTTTTAAATAATTGAAAAAAACCTTAATAAAAGTGGAAATTTCTTAGTTTAATATTCATCGATGTAATAACATTTTGTAAAATAGTTATATATAACTAAATGTATCACATAAACATTATAATATATATTGGTAAAAAATAGAATAGATATTATTATTACAATTTGAATATCATTTTTATTTATTATTAATTAATATATATAAATAATATATAATTTATAATATTAATTATATATTTGATAACTGTAACTAGTTGTTGTTTAAATGATTTATAATAATTGGTATTTATTTAAATTAATAAATATATTAATAAATAAACTATGTCTTTTCATTTTTGTAATTTTAATTTATAATTAAAAAATTGAATTTGAGTTATTTAATTCTTTTAATTATTATAATAATATTAATAAATCAAATAATATATTAATTATAAATAATAATTATTTTTATTATAATTTTGTTTAAAAAAATTTATTAAATTTATTCTTTTTTTAAATTGTTACAACAAGAAATGCTATTTATAGTTTGAAATAAATATAAAACATTTGATTTTTTCCTTCATTATTTAAACCATATTTTATTACTTAAAAATAGTTTAAAATAGTTTCAAAGATACACATAAAAAACATTGTTTGAAAGAAAAAACCAATAGATTTCGAAGAATCCCGACAATACAGACACATTTTTCCCACACCCAAAAACATCGAATTGTCCGAAATAAAAACGAACAATCAACTTGTTATGTAGAAAAGCCGAAATTTTCTGCTTTCGTCCTTTTTACGCCGAACAAGTACCGAACGCCGTAGAAGAGGTTGAGAAGCCCAAAACGAAGCGTCACAGAAATTATAAAAATGAAAAAGCTTCTACCGAATAATTTTTCATATAAAAACAACTGTGAAGTCTGACACTCCAAAACCTATGTGTGACATCGAATTAATAGACGTTGCTTCCCGTGACTGCCTTAGAAAGCAGAGAAAGGAAATCACAGACTACAACAAAACTTTTAAAGTTGACTACAACGAAGAAGAGATTGTCCACGAGGCAAGACGCTGTTTGTACTGTGCTGATGCCAACTGCCAAAACTGTTGCCCAACCAACTTAGATGCCAAAAGAATGGTCCACGCTGCTGGTGAAAAGAACTTTTATGAGGCTGCTACCGTCGCTTTGACTGCTAACCCACTAGCACTTTCATGTGGTCACTTGTGCTCTGCTGAAGAACTTTGCCAATGTGGGTG